AAGTTATTCGCTGGAATGGGTTCATTAAACGCATTATTTTGACGAATGTTGTCACTGTTTGGGTCGTATCGATAGCGAAACAGTTTCTAAAGTAGTTGATGCTCTAATAAGGTTTTCATATGGATCTAGGACGTTTGCAATTATTAGTTAATTTAAGTATATTGTTTGGTTTAATTATTTAAATAGTTTAATTCCGATTCAATCACAACTGAATCTGGAGCACGATTCGCAACGATGTTGATGTTCTGAGTGGGCAAATCACGTGAAGGCATTGTGCAATTCGTGTGGTTTCTCCCTCTTGGATGATAATGACGATTTCCTTGTTTTGGTGCCAGAGGCACGGAAACAGTCCCTGTGGTGAGGACTAATGGCAAGATAAACAGAGAAGAGGAAACTTGTCTGTTGCAAGATCAGTCCAACATAGATTACTCTGTTACGTGGTTAAAATGATCGGACTGTGTTCTGTTTAAACTCGTGCGAAGATTCATTTCGAACTCATCGCTATGCTCTTTCAGCCTGTTCTGTGGCCTTCTTGTTCCGCACATAGATTTTATTATGGAAATTACCAACGTTTTTAGCTGTGTTTGACTCATTGTGCAGATATCTTGACAACCTTACAACCTTGAGACAGGCATGACTCGGAGAGTCGGTAATTCCATAAATAATCTGTATGCGGATCAGTTCTGCTATAAACACAGAAAACCATACAACTCTCTCCCGCATAACAGAACAATGTTCGCTTTTAAGGTCTTTAATCCTAATACTAAAAACATTCGAAATGCGCTTTGAAAAGGTGGCGTCCCGACGCCAGAAAGGAACTCATCTTCTAGAGAACAGATGACAACTACACCGGGTTTGATCATACCCACAGGTGACTTGCTTCTCCTTTATGCGAGATCGTTGCGGATCTTGCTGCGGATTTAGCAGTGGTAGCGTCTTTCAAAATTCGAACGAAACTATTTAAATTATTAAAGATAAAACAGTTATTTCGCCCTGACCACCTTGCAGTTCCAGACGTTGGTCGTTACCCGCTGCTTATGGATGGCGCTTGCGCAGACCACAGATGTTTCTGTGTCATAGACGCCATAGCTGAATTTAAGCAACGCAGTAACCCACAATTATGAGGTCTGATCATTGCAGACAGTGTTCGCTGCTACAGCAAGGGTCATATTCCAATTGGCAAGCAGGTCTGCCTCTGCAAGGTGTTTCCACGTTTTGTATTGTGCTCCAGCGCGTCTTCGGCAAACGCACATTTCGCAGGAGAGAAAGTTTTGAATATATTTCCGTTCCGTCTGTGGGCCGTTTTATGAAACCAATTGAGGCGCCGGTCTCTGAGTTCATCTGATAGTTTTGTCGCTCCTGTGGTCGCCAGCGCTGCGCGTTTGTAACCCAGTGGTACCATCGTATTTGGATAGTACTTCACACACAGCGTTGTAGAAGGTGTCTAAACGAGCTTCATGATGCTTTACTGGGCAGCCGTTGTTTCGACAGCACCGCACACACGGCTGCTTCCAGATTGGCGATTGTCATGTTCGTTCTTTTTATCCTTCTCTGATCCTTCCTTCCATATGTTATACAGTTTGGCATAATTCGCCGACTCACTTCACGATCGATGTCACCATTGTCAGTCAGCACAGTTCCATAATACTTGACATGGCCCACGGTTTTTTCATGGTAACACTGTTCCACAATATCACTCAGCTGCCGGTCGCTGTCTTAATTTTGATCTTTTTGGCGTTCACTTGCAGGCCCCTTCTCTTAGATGTGTTGTACACTCTTTCGGCCACCGACAGTAAGCCATACATGCAGCGCGCACTGAGCGCTAGGTTATAGCGTCTGTTGTAGATGTAAACAATTGCTGGTTTGATTGATTCGTTTGATGTTTTCCATTTACAGTCACGCTTTGTATTTAGAGCCTCTTG